CTTTCCAAGGAGAATTGCTTGTGATCCTAGCTCTGATTCCAGCGTCCCATCCATTGTGCTGCAGCCCATGAATACTTGCCACTATTCTAGCCCATAGCTTCTCCTTCTCCAAAGGAAACCTCCACAACCACTTCCCCAGCAGAGTCATATTCCTTCTAATACTCCCAAGCCCCAAGCCACCACACGACTTACTCCTACACACTATTTCCCAGCTAACTCTATGATCCCTCTTCTCTTCTCCTGGCTCCCATAGGAAATCTCTCATTATCTTCTCTAATCTGTTAGCAATCTTCACTGGGATTTTAAACACCAACATGAAAAAGATGGGAGGAAGGTAACTTTGATTAAGGCTATGCTTACCAATTTACCGGTTTATTATCTCTCTGTGTTTAGGATCTCTTGTAGGGAGGCTAGGAAGTTAGAAAAATTGATGAGGGATTTTCTTTAGGAACCAGGGGAGGAGAAAAGGATCACTTAGTTAATTGGGAGAAAGTTTGTTGGAGTAAGGAGGTAGAGGGTCTAGGATTAGGGAATTTGGTCCTTAAAAATGAAGCTTTATTGGGGAAGTGACTATGGAGATGGCCTCAGGAAAGAGAGAGTTTGTGGCACAGGGATGTGCTTAGTATTCATGGTTGTTTTGTCTCTGGTCGGGATGATGTGGTATCTCATTGGGCTACCTAAACAACACCATGGAAGGCAATACATGGCGTCCTCCCCAATTTCCTTCAATTTCTAAGGTATGACGCTTGCTCCGGAAATTTGGTTCTTTTTTGGGAAGACGCTTGGGTGGGTAATCAACCCCTAAAAGATCTATTTCCTTCTCTGTATGCTCTTTCCCTTTATAAAAAGGAGGTTATCTCTGTCTTTTTTCCTCATCCAGTTTTACCTTTATCCTTGAACTAGGACTTTGGTTTTTGTAGGGGCTTAAGGGAGGAGGAGCTTTCTTGTGTTGCAGAACTTCTATCCATTTTAGAGTGTTTGTTTGGACGCCTCTTCTCCTGATAAAAGGGTGTGGACTTCTACTCCAAAAGGTTCTTTCACTTGTGCATCCTTCTTCAAATCCCTTTGTTTGAGTTCTTCATTTGAGCCTTTCCTAGTGAAAGAAGCGTGGACAAAGTCAGTGCCCTTCAAAATTGCTGTTTTTTTGTTGGGAAGTGTACCTTGGTAAGAGTAATACTTTGGAGAACTTACAAAAGAAAAAGCCTTTCATTTGTTTATTCCCAAACTGGTGTGTACTGTGCAATTCTCATAGTGGGGACTGTTACCACTTACTGGTTTCTTGTTCCTTTGTTGTAGCTCTTTGGGACTGGATGTTTGTTTTGTTTGGATGTAGGTGGAATCAACCAGCAGAGTTAAAATCATTATTCTCACCAACTACCTTTGCTTGCCCAACAAAAAGAGGGAGGAGTATGTTTTGATGTTTTAGAGCAGTCACCCTATGGACAATTTGGAGGCCTAGGTGACAAGGCGCCCTTGGAGGCTTGCCTCGCCTAATCGCCAAGTAGTTTTCTATAGTGTTATAAAAAACTTTTATATTCTTAGTTTTTTGAGGTTATAATTATAAAATAGACATTTTTAAACTAAAATATTCATTTTGTGTGCTTCTATACTAATTTCTTTTTATTATTTTTTTATTTGTAGGGTTTAATCAACACAAACATTGCTAAATGCTGTATTGAACCCTCAAAGACTTCAAAACCTGAACCAATAAGTAAGGAAGAACATAAAATGTTGTCCAATCAACACATTTTTTTCTTTTTCTTTACCAATTTTGTGTGTTTATATTACTAATTTCTTCTTATTCTTCTTCTTCCACCTTTTCTTTTCTTCTTTTCCTATAACAGAAATAGGGGTTCAGCCCCTATATTTTTTGAAATTTCTTTTCTTTCTTCTTTTTCTTCTCATGAATATGTTGGAATATGCTGATTTTCTATACTTTAACATGAAGTTTATACTTTTCTTATGAAAATTATGGATATTTATTAAGGAAATATGATCATGTAACCTAGGGTAATAACATGTTTTTACTTAAAAATCCATCACCTAGGCGACAAGGCGCCCCCCTGTTGCCTAGCCTCACCTTGGCGCCTTGAAAACTATGGACAGGTCCTTCACAAAAGTGAAGGAATGTATCTTAACCCGGGCTATCCATTGGCTGAAATCCTTGTTTCTGTCAGCTCTTTTTCATTTGATGATATCTGGAGGAATTGGGCCACAGTTGCACTCACTTCGGTTAGAAAAACCAGAGCCACTACAGTAACTGAATTTTGATGGAAGCAGTCAGGCCTGTCGGGATTACCCGGGACTGTCTGACATTGGAGGAGTGTTGAGGAATGAGTATGGTAACATCATATCCTTACTCTTAGGTCCGATAGGGATAGGGGACTCTACAAGAGCTGAGATATTGGCTGCAATACAAGGAATTCAGATTGCTAATCAACTAGGAGTGGAGAACCTATTAATTGAAGGGGATTCTAAGGTGATTGTGGGCTGGCTGTCAAATCCAGGCTCAGTTGTTTGGAGTTATAGGAACCTAATCAAAAAAGTTAAATGTTTGACAAGGCACATAACATGTAGATATCAATGGGTGTAGGGAGGCAAATACCTTGGCTGATTATCTTGCTAAACAAGGTTATACTAGGGATCATTTATTTTGGGCAGCATTGTAATTGATTTCTGATCTCTTGTAATGTTTAGGGGAGGCTGCATCTCGTGCCTCTCCAAGTGATTCTTGTAAAATCTTATTTCTCTTGAATAATGAAATCATTTTCAGTTATAAAAAAAGTGGTTTTTAAAGAAGTTGAATTATTTTCCTCATGGCTTGAGCAACATAATTGAATTTGCAGAAAAACAATATTAGTTGGGCCTTCTTTTGCCACTCTTTACTGAGTTAACAAAATTGTATAGGTTTTGGAACTAACCTTACTATATTTTGCCTTCTGGATGCAAACTATCTTTCATTTATAAGTTTTATACTGTATCTTTCATTTTAAATAAAAGGTTTATGGCAGATACAGCACCTTAGAAACTGTTGTTGAATAACTATAATATTATTCTGTTCATTCTTATTCAGGACACAAAAATTGGGTTCTTTGCATTGCATGGTCCCCTGATGGTAAGCATCTTGTGAGTGGGAGTAAGGCTGGAGAACTTCTGTGCTGGGATCCACAGACTGGGAAGCCATCGGGCAAGCAACTTATTGTAAAGTTCACATGTTATCACGTTCACATTTATTTTATTTAGTGTAAAGCAATCAAATCGTTCCATCAACAACAATTACTTGTGCTAGTACTTGAACATTTTTAGCTGTAGATAGAAACATCTATTCATGGCATTAAATTATTTTTATTTATCTATATGTAAAGTCTTTTGCACCATTCAAAGTCTTCATTCATGGCATCTTGGGGTCAAATATCCTTTTCCTTTTTTTTGATAATCAACAGTAAAATTTCATCAAGGAAAACTGCGACACTGGTCAGAAAAGAAAGCAGCAAGCTAAAGCTGGTGAAACAGGTTCAATTTTAATACAAAATCAGTATTCCTAAAAAAATGACTGTTAATACAAAATCAGCTCCTATTCACATGGACATCTAATTACAACAATAAATGGACATTACAGATTTCCTTGTAATGCAGAATCCTTTTCAATTTAAAGCTTTGAGAATGTATTTGGTGTGTCATCTTGACAACCAAGGGTGTTAGGATGTAATCTTTTTGTTTTAGTGAAAAATTTTCTTGATTCTTCAAGAAAATTTAAATAAATAAATAAATAAATAAGTAAAAGGACATTACAACAACCCGGCCATGGACATCCCCATTCAAGCTGGTTCCTTGCCACCCCTGCCCTGACTAGAGAGTCTGCTAGTCCATGTGCCCTTCTAGGCAGGTGTTGAATGAGCTATTCAATATGGAGCTTAAGTATTTTGCCTTTCTCGCCATCGGCCTGACCAACCAAGGAATCATGTCTTGTTTTTCATCCAACAAAAGTTATAGTTTGCAGTCTCCTTCAACCTCCACATTTTTCATTTTGTAATCAATTTGAACCCGTGATTCAAATCTTGTAGTTCAGCCCTTAGAGAGTTTCCAACACCCATAGGATCAGAATAGCTAATTAGTATTTGTCCATTATGGTCCCAGATCAAACCTCCAATCCCTGAATGTCCTGGATTCCCAAAGCTGCATCCATCAAAGTTGAGTTGAAGTTTGCCCATTGCTGGTGCATACCAACTGACTGTCCGTTCCACTTGGACTTGAGCATCCTTGTTATTATATATCTTTTGATTGTAAGTGCAAAAACAAAGGAAAAAGAATAACAAATACGGTTCCTTTATAAAAGATTGACAGAAATGGAGAAGATTTTTGAGTATAAATGCTACTCTACTGTGAATTTTAGACTGGTAGGACATTCAAATAGTTCAAGACAAAGCACTCTTTGGGTTATGGGTGAATTGAAATTGTGGATGTGATAGGCAGCCGGCTGATCACTTAAGCCCAGCCTAGGAAGACAAAGTACCTATGTGACTGCTCCGCTGCAGTTTGTTTATACAAGGAAGCCACGTCGCCCAAGTTAGTTATCCATCACATCTCATCCATGTGCAAGTGATGTATAAATACTATGTAATCCGATCTCCATGGCATGAAGTAAGAAACCCTATTATCCCTTCTCTTCTCTTCCTCTTTATCTTCTCCTTCTTTCCTCTTACTCTGTTTCGGCCTTTCAGGAGGGTGAGCTCCCTTGAACCAGCTTTTTGTTTTGACTTTGAAGTGGACTTATCAATTGGTATTAGAGCCTAGCTCTCCGATGACCAACACAAGGTTGATGGTGTTGGACGATCGGGTCGATAGAATAGAGGTTGAATTACACAAAACCACCAACAAGATGAAGGGCATCAAGGAAACACTCTTTGCTTTGGTAGGGCAGATCGAACGAATGTCAGCTTCACCGGCTAAGGAATGTTACGATCCATTTGTCCCACATTGGTAGTATGGGATGTTAATGTGAGATATTCCATATCGGTAGTATGGGATTCTATTGTGGGGTATATATGTGCTTGGGTTCCCTTCCTCTAACAGCTAGCTTTTAGGGGTGAGTTCTCCTAAGGCACATGACAAATGGTATCAGAGCCTACACTATGCCTCTTAGTTGCAATTATGCGGCGTAGGTGGTGACGATGATATTGTAGTGTTCGGTTGGGACTAGGTGGAGTAGTGCAAAGGCAGCCCGTGTGGGCATCGGGACTGTGGAGCGTGGTGGAATGTTATGATCCATTTGTCCCATATTGGTAGTATGGGTTGCTAATATGAGATATCTCACATCGGTAGTATGGGATGCTGTTGTGGGGTATATGTGCTTGGGTTCCCTTCCTCAAACAACTAGCTTTTAGGGGCGAGTTCTCCTAAAGCACGTAACAGGATGACTTGGTCATTGTATCTTGGATGTGTGACTGTTTCTTGAGTGAGGTCTGCACTTGGAGTTCCAGAAAGAACATGATCTGATAATTCTGAGGCCTTCCTACTTGGTGGTTGACAACTTAGCCAAGGGAAGGGTTAGGAGGAGCAGGTTGTAGTGGGAGACCAATCTTCCATGCATATTTTTCAAGGTGTCTAGGCAATTGTGGGTGACATTGGGGTGCCTAGTCACTTAGTTGCCTAGGCAATAATAATTATATAATATAAAGAACTAACTTTTAGATAGTTCCCTAGTTTAATATACCACTCATCATGTATATAAATTGAAAAAATAGCAATTCTCATTATTAAGAACATAACATTTGCTCAAAAAATGTGGGAAAGTCATCAAATCTAAAAGATAAAAGTCTTACATATATTAATTTCATTATTTTCAAAAATAATACTACTATAATAAGTATTTAATAGAGCAATTTCATATCAACTAGCAGCTAAAGAAGGTTATTAACTTTATATGATAAATATTCAAGATGGAAAGTAAAATAGAAAAAAACAAGGATGGAGTTTCTGTTTTATTTAATTAGAGAGAGAGAGAGAGAGAGAGAGAGAAAAGAACCTCATACTTCTATTCTTCCTTTCCTCTTTCTTTTTTTGGTCTTTTTTTTTTCTTTTCTTTTTCTCTTCTCAAAACCCTTTGATCTTTTAAATTTCAATAGTAGAACATTAAAACAAAGTATAAATTGTATATATAGCATATAATAAAATGTATTAACACATATTAATAAGACACACCAATATAAGTGATATTGTTATAAGGTGCCCTCCTTGTCATTTTTTGTCACCTAGGCGAGTGCCTAGTTTCTATAAGTCAAGGCGTTTGGGTGAGGTGCCCAGCCAAGAGCACATAGTCGCTTTGACAATTATGCTTCCATTGTACTTATGTTGTTTATAAAGAGCTTTTTACCTTGTTGGACTCCTCAGATGCCTTGAAGCCTTTTGTATAAGCTGATGCATTAGAGGAGTCCAACAAGGTAGAAAGGCCGTTATAAACAATGTAAGAACCATGGAAGATTGGTCCCCTACTGCAACCTGCTCCTCCTAACCCATAGATATTGTAAAATTCAGAGAAACAATAGATATTGAGACACTTCATCAAAGAGGCTCTGGAGCCTCTTTGAGGTCGAACAATTTACTGGCTAAAAGTCTTGTGAGGGGAGGGCTTGGGAGGAAAAATCAATACTGGTGTTTTCTCCTGAGTTAGCTTTTTACCGTTCTTTGATTTGTTTTGATAGCTTGTTATGAAGTTCATGTTATCATCTTTGTTGTTTTCCTTTTGTTGACTTTTTTTCTTTTTTGATAGTGAAGGTAAAAAAGAAACTTTCATTAATATAAAAGAGAGACAAGTTAAAAGCTTTTATTTGGAGATGTTATCACTACAAGAATTACAATTGAAGGAAATCAAAAAAGCTTTTACTCCCTTAACCAAAGATGGTTACCCTCAGCATTCATCTTACAAAGTCCTATAAGCTTTTCACCTAGATCTCATCTATTCATGCCTCTATATTCACAGTGACTCGAAGCCCATTCAGCAGCAAATGAACAAATACCAGCTACAATTTTTCTTCTTTACCTGAAATTTTCTTTAAAGATGCACCTATTGCTTTCCTTCCTCTCCCCCAACAAACAGAAAATGCAATGCTGCTTCATGAAGGTCTTCCTTTTTTCCCACCTATATTATTTGGCTAGAAAGAGAAAATTTCTCCTGGATGAGTTGGAATTCCTGAACCCTGAATCTTGAACACCAAAAAAATAAAAGTCCCAAATAAAGATCACCAAACTGCTACACGAAAACAGACAACATATTTTCCTCTTGCCTCTTACACATTACAAACCCACTTGGCATTTAATTCTTGATTTCAGATTCTTTAGTTAACATTCTGTCCATAGCTAATAACCAGGCAAAAGCATCAATTCCCTGGAAAAGTCAGTTACCCCGAACTCCTTTCACATTAGTTGTGTTTCTATATATATATTTGATAAAAGTGGCAATGTTTTGTTGGTTTGATCAATCTGGAAAGTTGGCAACTAGATGCCTTTAAACACCCAAAAGAGATAAATGATATTCCTTTCCTCATTTTGGTCTGCAATATGGTTTTTAGCTTTTAATCTTGATTGCAGAAGTTCATCTTCCATTTGTTTTTTGTAATTTCTTTTACACCTTTGAGTTTTTTTTTTTCCCCTTTTTTTGGGGTGGGGGGAGGTAAGGGAGGGCTGTTCTGATAGTAAGAAGGAAAAAATACTGTGTTGTTGCTAAGTTGTACTCCTCTACTGGACAGGACAGCAATGACTGAATACATAGTTCTCATTACCATGTTCCTCTTAGTCAAACAGGCCACAAGCAACGGATTGAGTGCTAGCGCTCAAGCCGTTGTGCAGTAGCGCAGCCAGTGCAACGGCAGCATGCTAGTGCGTGCACCCATTTTGAGATTATCAATTGAACATCGATGAAAGTTGTAGGGTTTGTAAGAGAGTCTTTTCAGTAGCCTGGAAAGAACTAAGAAGGCTAAGTCGGAAAAGAGAATCCTAAAAGGGAGACATTGGTAAATTTTTGGATCTTCTAGAATAAAAGGTATATTCTGCTAGAAGTGGAGGAAGTAGAGGGACAGGTAAAGTTTCTTCTACTAGAAGAGGAGGTAGGGGGAAGAGCTATCACTGAAGTTTGATGGCTGGCTTGCTGTTATGGCTTCTTTGTGGTACTAAGAGTTCTTGAGTGGCTCATGGGGTTATTGATTTGTTTGTGCGGAGGGAGTCTTGAGTCTTCCTGTGTTATTTTGGGCTTTGGAAAGTCTTTTATGTTCCTTATATAGGGGCTTCAGCCTTCTGCTTCATTGTTTGGAAGTCCCACTAGTGATTAGGGTTTAGGGAAAGTTGAACTTGTACATGACACTGCTGGAAGATCTTGCTTCTGGAGAATGAATAATCTTGAGGAGAAATTAGCTATTGAGTGTTAATTCCTAATAATCATGTCAAACACTTGTGTTCAATCCATACTTCAAGACACGGGCTATGTTTGTTATGATTATGTTGATTTATTGCTAGAATTTCTCTTCCTTTTTACATGGCATTTACATGCTTTAATGAATGTGTTTATGATGCCTGTTTCTTTTTGATAGTAGAGGAAATATGTCATTAATTTCTTGATCACAATTTCCAGTAAAAACATGGGAAAAGAGCAACAGCACAACTGTGAAAAAAAGGCCATGCTGCCAACCTACAACCCTGTACATCATCAACATTGTGCAAAGTGCAAACAACCCCAAAAGAAAGACCCATCCTGTCAGAAGGGAAAAAAAACAAACAACCTGTTCTGATGTCTTCAATACAATCACTGAACCACAGGAGATTAGATAAGTTGAACTGATGACACTACCAATGTTACCAAACAGAAAAGAAAGCACCCTAACTGACTTCGACACCACCTTACCCAATGAAATGGAACATCTTGAGCTACCACAAATGCCCCTTTTATGCTCTGCCACATGATTCACCACTGTCCTGGGGCCTTGACCTCTTGTATTCTTGGACATCCCCTTTTGGTCTTTCTTATGTGTTGCTAAAACGTGGTTTCTTTGATTAGTTTTTAAGAGATTTAATTTATGGCTTTACCACATTTCAGGGCCACAAGAAGTGGATTACTGGCATATCATGGGAACCAATTCATCTGAATGCTCCATGTCGCCGATTTGTAAGTTCCAGTAAAGATGGTGATGCACGAATTTGGGATGTTTCATTAAGGAAATGTGTTATTTGCCTAAGTGGTCACACACTTGCAGTAACTTGTGTGAAATGGGGAGGAGATGGAATGATATATACAAGGTAAAACAACTTCTGAATGTTAATTTATGTTGACAAATATTTATTGGTTTGATCATTAAGTTTATTGGTAATGAACTAGTGGTTTGATATTGCTTCTATTCATGGGTGATTTTTCTTATTTATACACTGGTAAGTGAGTCCCTATTCCTACTTTGATATGTATAATAAGTGAATACATCCTTGATATAGCCATTATTTTGGCCAAGTGCCCGAAATGAACTGTTGTTTTCTTTTTCTAATACTTTATTGTGTGGGAGATAAATAACTTTTCTACTTAGTGAACTGTTTGGCATTCTATGAGAGAGCAGACTTGGTAACTTGCTGGTCTCTTTGGGAAAGCTAACTTGGATTATACTAATTTCATACTGTCTGATCATCTACTGGGCACTGGGTGGGTGCAAGGGCTCCACAATTTTGGGTTTATTTACTTGGTGATAACAGCAGAGTTTCCCTAATTGGTCATCTTTTGGTTTTTAAATGTAAATTTCCAAATGAACATTTGGTATGATGCCTGTTTGATTGTTTGAATTTGATCATTAAGTCAGCTTTCTCCCAGTTCCGTTTGATCCTAAAATAGGATAAAGGAAACTGGAACTAGATTGATTGCCTTGTTTTGAGTTTACACTGTAAGACTCACATATTCATGTTTTGAACATGAATTCCTTCATATATTCATGTTTTGAACATGAATTCCTTTACACTTGAGTTCAATTTGTTTGTTTGTTTGTTTATTTTTGATTGGTGTGATTTTGACTAATTTATGGTTGTTTGCTACGTTTTCCGATTAATCTTTATGATACTGTAACTTTAAATTTACAATTGGAAGTGTTCAATTGAACTCTTGCAGCTCCCAGGACTGTACAATTAAAGTGTGGGAGACTTCACAAGGGAAGCTGATCCGTGAATTGAAGGTAAATGCATCTCTTCTTATAGGTGAATTTATTTTTCAGTGCTTGATTGTGTATTATTATGCAATTGCAAGTTGTTATTGTTGGAAGTTCCATTAACTATTATCAGTACCATATCTGAATAGGTTTCAGTTCTCCTATTTCAGGCAGCAATTAGTGGCACCTTATTCTTTTAGTTGCCCTTCTCCTGGATGTCTGCTCAGTCCCATGTGCATCTGAATGTCTTTCCTTTATAGACAGTACTGAATCTTATGGGTAGCTCTATAGCATGTTTCCATTTTTCTCCTGCCACTGTTGCACATCTTGAGAAGATCTGTCATGAGTACTTGCACCATGATTGTTGTTCAGACCTTTGAATGGTCCTTTCAGCTTTTTTGCTGGCTTAAGTCATTTATTCACTTGTCTCCTTTCTTTTATTTTGGATAAGTTAGCTTCATGTTTATAGATGGTGGTTTGGTTGGGCTTTGTTTTAAGCCCTCAAATGTTTTGTAAACTTCCTGTAGTGAGAATGTCGAATGGGCCTTAGTGTCTTTATTTCTTTTAAGTTATGTTTTAAGTTTATGTTCTTTTAGTTATGGGCCTCTTTTGTTTTGTTTTATTATTTCTTTTGTGCTGGTCGCCGCATTAAGGGCATCCAGCGAATTGTACTCAATTTAGAATCAAGAGAATAAAAGATATCTGGAGGGGGGGGGGGGCTAGAGAAAAAGGATCAAACTCTTCTCTTCTCTCTTCCCTTCCCTTCTTCCTTCTTCCACATACCTACGTTGACACTTTTCTTTCTTCTTTCTTCTCTTTTCTATATTTTCTGAATTATTGCAGGTGTGCTTCACAACTTGGTACCAGAGCAGGTTCTCACCTTCAACATCTTTCTCCTTTCTTACCCCATACACAATGTATATGGAGAACTGATCAGCTGATCAATTAGTGAATTATGTAGCCCAGTTAGGAGGTTTTCAGAGGGTTTTTTGTGGAAATTTTCATCCTTAGTTGAAGCCTATGGCAGGTTCTTGGAGATTTTTCCCGAAAACCCTAGAGATAGTTTGAAGCTGGATAGAGTTATGGAACCTCTGGTAGTAGCAGTTGAAGTTTTTCTCATTCTTCCATTTTGCTGGGTCCTCTAAAACCCTTGTTTTAGGTGGTTGAAGTTCTTTGCTTGGAATAGAAAATCTAGCTTAGTAAAACATTAATTTGATTTTCGTTTGCATCTGTCCACCTAATGAAGCAAATTGGAGGAGAAACCAAATATCCCACAGATTCTGGATTTGGACATGGGGGGCCAGTGGAGACTATAGGGGTAGTGACTACTGTAAAGTTGGATGGAACCAATTATTTATCTTGGTCTCAGTCAATTAAAATACATGTATGTAGTAGAGGGAAATGATGTTACATTACCAGGAGAGATAAGAAACCGACGGAGGATGACCTTACCTATGAATGGTGGATGCAAGATAACTACATTGTAGTGGGTTGGTTAGCGAACTCCATGCAGCTAGATATTAGTCAACACTATTTGTAGTTGGCAACTGCAAAAGGTGGTTAAGTGTCACGGAGACCTATTCCCAAAAGCTAAATGTTGCCCAGCCGTACTAATTGAAGAATTATGTGAATAATCTGAGATAGGGAAGAAGCCCTTATCCGTCTACTTTTCCATGCTGAAATCTCTTTGGCAGGAGATTGATTTGATGGAGGCCGTTGTTTGGGGTTGTACAAAGGATGCAGAATGTTTCGACAATGGATGAAGTGACTTTTTCTAAGGCTTATGGTATGGTGAGTAGTGAAAAGAGCAGAGGACAAGTTTAGTTTGCAGAGTTGCAGCTTGATCACTATGCTAATGTTGGGATGAAGCCGAAGGTAAACATTGGGAAGAAAAATGTTATTTGTGAGTGATACAAGAAGCCTAAACATACTAAAGATACCTGTTGCAAGCTGCACCTAGATCTCATTCCTGTTAGACTCAAGAATGGAAACAATAGAAAAAAGGATTGAGAATGGAAAAGGTGGAAATGCAAATGTAGCGACCTCTTCATTGAATAGATAGGGGCAAAGTGGTGAGAAATCAGTCGGAGAGCAACTTCTAGCTGCCATGGATGAGTGTGAGAAGTATGGCCGAATAATCAGTCATTTGGAGCCTACTGCTACAACATCTACTTCATTAGAGATAGTTCCTTTGCATATGCACATTCAGGTATTCGTGCCACTGCAAATCATGTTACTAATCCAGGTACTCATAAAATCCCTTGGATAAACAATTTTGGTGCCTTTGACCATATGACCAGTGTTTCATAGTTATTCACCTCTTACCAACTCCTTTCTGGTCAGGACAAGATATCCCTTAGTGATGTCTCCATTTCCCCTATCACGGGAAAGGGAGACATTAAGACCTCACATGTCCTGACCTTATCATCTATTCTTCATGTACTTAATAATACCAATTTGCTTTCAATTAGTAGTTTAACTAAACCCCTGAATTGCAGTGTGACTTTTTCCCTTCATATTGTGTTTTTAAGGACATGAAATCTTAGATGATTGGGAGTGGCCGTGAGGCTAATGGGATATATTTGTTAGACATACTAGTGTTTTGTTTTGTTTGTTGATGACTTTTCATGATATACTTGGATTTACCTTATGCGCTCTTGTGTTGAAGTGTCTAAACTTGTGCAACAGTTCCATGAATATATATTGAGTTTGATACCTGCATCAAAATATTCTGATTAGACAATGCTAAGGAATATTTGAGAAGTATATTACCTCCTACCTTGAAAATTTTGGGGCAGTTCATCAGAGTTATTGTGCCCGTACTCTACAACAAAATAAAGTAGTGGAGAGGAAATTTTGCTACTCAATTTTTTGTGAAATTTTGGGGTGATATAGTTTTAACAACCAGTTATCTTATTAACCATACGCCTTCCCGAGTCTTGGGGTTAAAGTCTCCTTTTGTAGTGCTCTTTCTTGGTGTTGAGGTTTTCTCCATTCCTTTGCGTGTCTTTGTTGCACTTGCTATATCGACATTCCTTTGCATGTCTTCCTTGGTTATGCCTCCACATAGAAAGGTTACTATTTGCTTTGATCCCATTAGTGGCACTCGATTTGTTTCCATGGATGTCACCTTTGCAGAGTCGGTCCCTTTTTATAGTCATCCTTTTTAGGGGGAGAGTTCTCTTGAATTGTTTTTTCATCCTTTTCATCCCAACTCCAGTTGATTCTTATGTTGAGCCCTCCATAGTTGCCCCCGCTCTATTTTTTTTGATAAATGAGAGTAATTTTATTAAATCAAATAACAAAAATACAATCAGCCTAGGAGGAGGCACGGGATGTTACCCCCTTAGGACTGAACCATATACACCAAAACTGCCCAAGCCTGAGACACAATTACAAAGTAGCCCAAAATAGATCTCCCCTTGACACCCCCTGCTTGGCCAAAGAATCAGTCATTGCATTTGCTAATCTTCTAACCCACTGAAACCTGACAATCATGTTTCTTGTCATCCATTTAACTTTCTTTAACAGATCCCGGTAGCCCCAACAAGCTATTTCTGGGCTAATTAGCCAGCCTACTACTACCTTGGAATCAATTTCTACTAGCAGATTTGTCACTCCACTTTGACTAGCCATCTGTATACCTTGTACCATTGCTAGTAGCTCTGCCCTTATTGAATCACCTTCACCCATTGGTCCTGAAATTAGAGACAACATATTGTTGTCTTTGTCTCTCAGAATCCCACCAATTCCCGATGGCTCTGGTGGGTTACCTTGGCAGATTCCATCAAAATTCAATTTTACCACACCATCCGGTGGGGGAATCCATTCAGCTTGTGATTTGATCTTGGTGGAGACTGTAGCAGCCACTGCAGCCCAATTTCTCTTTAAGTCATCAAAGGAGTAATCTGCCAACAAGTGTGAAGATTTTAATAATGAAATAGTCCTTGTCAATATGCATTCTTTGATTTCAGCAAGACTTCTTTCATGTTCTTGATTGGAGGGATCCTCTCCTTCGAGGTCTTCCATTCATTCTCCTCCCCCTCTTCCTGCTAGTCCTCTAGTTTTCACCAAACATCCTATTCTTTAGAGGTGGTATTGATGGCGAAGGCTATGGCAAACATAGGTTGGTCCCACATCTCTAGTTGAGTCTTAGGTTCTTCCATGGTAGGTCTGACATCTCCACCACCATCACCCTCGTTTCTAGACCTTGACCTAGCCATTGCTTGAGAAAGGATAAGAGGAAATGTACAATTTATTGCATTTCCAAACACCTTTCCTATAGCTTGTTGTCCCCATCCTACTATTACTTTCTAGCCTTCCTCTCAACCCATTCCAAAGTCAGTGACTGAAGCCTTAGACAAACTAGAGTGGAGGGATGTTATAAGGACTGAAATAGAAGCACTTCATAAAAGTAATACCTAGGATATTGTTGACTAGTGTTTTAAAAGGCGTGGGAGGCGCCCCCCAAATGCCTTGAGGCATATGCTAGAGGCACTGACACCTTTGAGGCGTACACCTCATATGCTTTTTTCAAGAGGCGTGCTAGAGGCGTACGCCTTGTGTGCTTCATGTACACCTCATATAAAAAGACAAAAGAAAAAAGAAAAAAAAGGAAAAGAAAAGAAAGGGAAGGGAAAGAAAAAGAAAGAGAAGAAAAAAAGAGAAAAAGAAAAGAAAAGGATTGGCTAGGGCGACGCATAACCCCCCTTTTAATGTAGCCCAATTTGTTTTCCACTTTTAAGATGAAAATTTTGTTTTCCCCACAGTTCGCATCAAAACAAATTAGAAGAGGTGGAAAACCATGATTTCTCTATAAAAAGGGGTAGAGATAATTTCAGTCCGAAAAATTTTGTCCATTTCAAAAAGAAACAAATAAAGTGTTAAGATAAAAGAGTGGGAAAATAATATAAGAGCAACATTAATTAAAAGGTGGGGACTATAGCAATATAAAAGTATTTTATAAAAAATGTGACTTGCTCACCTCCACTTCGACTAGACTCTCCCTTTCAACTAGTTGTATGCATCTTCATTCATTCTTAATATAAAAGACTTTTATTAAAAATAAAGCAAAATGAGATCCTTCTTCCACTTCTTCCTCCTCCCCTTCCTCCTCACCCCCTTCTCATAAGGAGGCTTATGCCTCTTATGTTCTGAACAACTCCTCATGCCTCTAGGTAGTGGAACACCTTGTGTCATGTCTCTGCATTTTAAAGCATTGTTGTTGACTTTCCAGCTGGGAAGGAATCTGTTGGGTGCAAGTGGGTTTACACTATCAAGTATCATGCAGATGGGTCAATTGAGAGATATAAGGCACATCTAGATGCTAAAATGACTTTTGTGAGAGTTTTTTTATCCTTAGCAATGACTTGTGATTGGCCTCTTTATCATTTTGATGTTAGAATGAATTCTTGAATGGTGATCTCACTGAAGAAGTATATATGTCCCTTCCCCTTGGTATATATGGTAAGGAGATGCAAGCAGTGTTTTAAAAAGCGTGGGAGGCGTATGCCTAGAGGCGTGCCTCTAGGTGAGGCGCTAAGACCTCTGAGGTGTACGCCTTAGGTGCAAGAGGCCTACGCTCATAAACTTTTTTCATGAGGCATGCTAGAGTCGTATGCCTCATGTGCATGTGCCTCATGCACAACTCATATAAAAAGATAGAAAAGAAAAGAAAAAAGAAAAAAAAAGAAAGGAAAGGAAAAGAAAAGAAAAGAAAGGGAAGGTAAAGATCTCTTGTGCCTCCCCTTTCTCCCTCCTCTTGACTCACCTCCTCTTAAGGAGGCTTACACCTCCTTTTGTTCAAGAGGCTTATGCCTCTTACATTTTTAAACTACGCCTCATGCCTTTGGGTAGTGGAATGCCCTCGCGTCATGCCTCCGTGTTTTATAACATTGGATGCAAGGTGAGGTGTGCAGATTGAAGAAGTCACTTTATGGCTTGAGACAATCTCCACGTGTTTGGTTTGGAGTTGCTCTTGTTCAGTTCAGCTACATTCAGACTAAATTAAATCATACCTTCTTTGTTAAGAGGAAGAATACTTTGGTCATATTTCTAATTGTTTATGTGGATGATATTGTTGTTATTGGCAGTGATACAAAAGAAGTTAAAGATATCAAGTTCCTCAATTCTGATTTTTAGATTAAAGACTTAGGGGGTTGCGGTATTTTCTGGGCAGTGAGGTTGCTAGGTCCAAAGAAGGTATCTTTATTTTGCAGCGGAAGTATGTCCTAGATTTTCTTATTGAGATAGGGAAGTTTGGTGATAAACCTGCCTCCACCCCTATTGATGTGAATCATAAACTCGCAACTAATGATGGTGAACTTTTAGTTGACAAGGGAGTGTTTTAGGGATTACTAGGGAAGCTTCTTTACTTATGTATGACTCATCAGGACATTTCGTGTGCTGTGATTGTAACCGGCCAGTTCATGCATGCACCTAGAGACACACATATGGATGCTATAGAAAGGGTACTAGATAATTCCCAGGAAGGGTGTACTATTTGCTTAACTTGCTCACATGAAGGTAGAAGCATATATAGATGTTGACTGGGCAGGTAATGATGATAGGAGGCCCACATCAGGTTATTGTGTTATGGTAGTTGGGAATATTGTTTCGTTAAGGAGTAAAAAGCAGTTAGTAGTTGCTAGATCTTCAGTTGAAGTAGAGTATATGGCCCATGGGGTTTTTGAGTTGTTATGACTTAGATCTCTCCTTGATGAGATGGGTGTCTCATGTGACAAGCCATTGGTGTTATATTGTGGTAACCAGGTTGCTATTAACATTGCACACAATTCGGTTCAACATCATAGAACTAAGAACATCGAGGTAGTCAGACATTTTATACATGAGAGAGTGACTTCAGGAGAGGTGTGCCTTCCTTTCATTGCATCAGAAGAGCAACTAGCAGATTTTCTAACTAAGGGAGTCCCTAAAGCAAAGCTTCAACATTAAGTAAACAAGCTGGGCATGATTGACATCTATGCTCAGCTTGAGGGGAGTGTAGTGAGAATGGGCTGAATGGTCCTTAGTGTCTTTATTTCTTTTAAGTTATGTTATAAGCTTATGTTCTTTCAGTTATGGGCCTCTGTTTTATTATTTCTTTAGTGCTGGCCACCCCATAAAGGGCATCTAGGGAATTGTACTGAGTGTAGAATTATGAGAATAAAAGATATCTTGGGGGGGATAGAGAGAAAGGATTGAACTCTTCACTTTTCTCTTCCCTTCTTTTCTTCTTCCTTCTTCCACAAACCTCTACTGAAACCTTTATTTTTTTCTTTTCTTCTCTTTTTCTATATTTTTTGAATTATTGCATATGTGTTTCACAACTCTTCCAATATCACATTTTCCTGCATAATTGATTTTGATTTCAGGGACATGGACACTGGGTTAATTCTCTTGCATTGAGCACAGAATATGTGCTCCGTACAGGGGCATTTGACCATATTGGAAAACAATATTCGTCTCCAGAGGAAATGAAGCAGGTAATTCTTTTATATGGTTTGATAATTATATTACACTCTTGATATTACTATGAATTTAATTTTTTTATACGAGTAAATTAGTACCAACTCTAGTAGCCTATGAAGGTGTGAATTTTGTTATTTAATTTTGTATTTCCTTGGTTGGTGGTTTAATTTGTACCTATAGCATGATGTGGTTTCTTTTATATTCTCCTCTTTCACTCTACCATTATTTTTCTTTATTTCTTTTTTTTGGGCATGGGGTGGGGGAATGTAGTCAAGCAGATTAGCTGTTCAATTACAATTTGTAGCATGCTCTACATGCGTACTTATTTTTTCTGGATTTACACAGCTATTAGGTATACATAATACCGTCTTTCTTGTTAATTTATATTTGAAGTGTAGACAAGGACATTCTTTATTAACACTCACAAGTGTAAATTTTTCTAAGTTGTTTGAATGATATGAAAGATGAGTATTATCAAATTCTGTAAGGATGTATTGTGTAGCTGTATTTCCCTCTATGTCCGATTCATGTTTGCTTTCAGATTTTGTTGTCCTAAGGTTGCTTTAATCCTATTATTCCTAGTTCTTCTCCCCAAACCCTCCTATTCTGAAATCTTTTGGCCTCTCAACTTCTATGGAGATATAAAAGACTTTGAAATGGAAAATTGATCTCTTTTTGACTCTTTAAGATACACATGTTTTCTAATGAACCTGACATGAGAATTGGTTCTCCTTGTTGGCTGCCCACTTGCACCTTCCCTCTCTCTTTGCAAATCCATCTTCCAGTTTTAGTTCTGCTCAATTCATGGTGATTTTGACAAGGTTACCACAAAACACTAACAGTTGCAACATGCTGCGACCTTCCATGTCTTTTTGATGCACATGTGCCATGGCCAGCTATTTATTTGTTGACTGCAAAGTGGCTAATGCTATTTGGTATTGCATTTTTAAGTTGGTCTCCATTGGGCACTCCCCTAGGACATCATGGAGCTTGCTTGTCAATGGTGTAGTTTATCCATTTGGAAAAAGGGCCACATCTGTTTTGAGGTATATGTTGGCAGTTATTTTATTTGAAATTGACAACAAGAATAAAAATAAAAATATGACATAAATGTAAATGGTTTAGTGGAAGATCCTTGATTAGAGTTGCTTTTGGTGCCCAAAGCTCAAGGGACTTAATCCTGAAGATATTGTCCTTGGCTTGAGTTGGTTACTCACGTTTTGTCATATTAATGAGAAGTGGGTGCAATGGATTTCCCTCCTATATGCACTGCAAAAATTAATTTTGAGGGATCTTCTTTTGACAACCTTAGCCGACTACTTATTGGGTGTTTGAATTTTGTATGGGCAACAATAAGAGCATTTTTCAAACTCCACTGGAGAAGGTGAATCCAATGGTACTGTAAGACTTGGCCCTTTTTGGAGAGCCTCAAGGGATCTATAGATTTATCCTAAATTAAGTTTGAGGTAGATATAGAGAATGCTTTTTGTAGGCTTCAGGTTGGTAGAGCATGGGGATCAGCCTCAACATTTGGAGCATACTATTAAGAAGGTTTCTACATGACATTGCTTTATTTCTTGTTCATGTGGTTTCCCCATTTATATTGCTACTGTCCCCCTTTTAATTAATGTTGCTCTTATATTATTTTCCCACTCTTTTCTCATAACACTTCATTTGTTTCCTTTTGAGATGGACATAAAATCATTCAGACTAAAATTATCTCTACCCCCTTTTTATAGAGAAATCATTGTTTTCCACCTCTTCTATTTTGTTTTGATGTGAATTGCGGGGAAAACAAAGTTTTCATCTTAAAAGTGGAAAAGATAATAACCAAAAAATTTCATCCTGATTTATCAAAAAAGAAATAATCAGCCTGAAAAATTTTATGTCCATTTCAGAAAGAAGCAAACACAACCTCAATAATTTTCTTTTTTTTTTTTTTCCATTTACAAAGGTTGGATGGAGAAGACATCTTCGTGCCCACACGAAACTAGAGAAGAGTAGTGAGGGTGGAGGCAAAGACATTCATTCTCGAAGTTAGATCAAAAGGTCAGACGTGGCTGAAGATGTGAGAAGGAAAAATGGCTATGATTTTTCTAGCAGAGGAATTTCTACTGTGGCTTATGTGCTTTCTAGTAGGGGCCTGCAAATCATTCAGAGTGTAGGAATTGAAGAAAAACCTGAGAAATTCTAGGAAAATGGTTTGGGAAAGACAAGAAGCAACTAATATGCCTCTCGATGGGAAAACAGAAAAAAGGATGGAATATAATTTTGGAAAATCTACAGGACTTCCAGATAAGGGGAAGGAATTTATAGAGGGATGATGATCCAAAATGCCAACAGACAAGACAACTTTCAGGGCAAGAGACAAATGTTTCAGATGGAACAACATTCTATTGGAGTTAAAACTCCAGTATCGGAAGAAGAGAAGGGCAAGGAAATCCAATTGTCCTATTGTGTCAAATCATCCAAGCTTAGAATGACTGACTTAAGGGACCACTGGAGCAAAAAACTCGTTTCCGAAGCAAGTAAACCAATAAGTGATTGGAAGAAGGTTGCTGAAGCCATTAAAAGGAGATAAATATTAAAGGAAATCTCTCAATATTTTCATTCTGTGACTGGAAGGTCATCTTAGATACCTAGACCCTTCCGAGAGATTTTTTCTTTTGCAGTCCAAATTCAAACTGAACAAGGATCTATGAGTGTCCAAAGATGGAGCCTTGCTACTAACTCTATTGCAATGGAAAAAACCCAAAGGTGAAAATTGTGGGGCTGCCATTCCACCACTGGGTTGTCTCGAGCTTTAAGAAAATAGCTCAGTTATGTAGTGGTGTGCTTGAGGAGCTTAACTGTTCAAACCTTCAAGCAGCTTCGTTCAATCCTGGTAGGGATTAAGCCAAAAAGCGTACCATGAATAGTTGAAGTTACGGTAGATGGAACAGTCTATGAAGCTGCAAGGTGCCAACCAGCTGGTTGGTAAGGTCTCCTATTCGTCATAGCGGAGACTTGGGATCGAATCATGCCTGCACCTGGGTTGGGGGATGGGCTACCTCCTTTTGTGTAGCCCTTCAAAAGAAATAAAGAAAAAACAGTCTATGAAGCTTGGATCCTTACAGCAATGGAGTCTGAGCTTTGGAAGCAAGCAGAGGGAGAAGATGACGATGTGGCATTGGGTGGAAAATCCTGGTTGGTTGATGCAAGTGAATGGTCAAATACAGGAGAAGCTCAATTGTCTAAAATAGAACGAAGTATTTGGACCTAAACGAAGTGTTTGATGAGTTTCACCAAAAAGGGTAGGTTTCATCAGGAACAAATGCCACATTCATCATGTTACTGCCTAAGAAAAAGGAAGCCAAAACTCCAAGGGGCTTTAAATCAATAAGTCTTGTGGGAAGCCTTTATAAAATAATTGTAGAAGTCCTTTCAAGTAGGCTATAAAGGGTGTCGCCCATAATAATCTCACAAGCTCAAGGTGCTTTTGTGTGGGGAAGACAAATTCTTGACCAAAATTTAGTAGCAAATGAAAGTGTAGCTGAAAAGAAGAAAAAAAGAGGAAAAGGTTTTGTTTGTAAACTAGACTTAGAGAAGGGATATGACTTGGTGGATTGGCCTTTCCTTCTTGATGTTATGGAAAAGTTTGGGTTGGGAGAAAGGTGGAAAAAGTGGATAAAGGGATGCATGGGCTCAATGCATTATTCAATTTTGATCACTTGGGCTGCTAGAGATTTCTTCCTAGCTAAACGAGGATTGTGATAGGGGGATCCTTTATCCCCTTTCCCTTTCACCTTGATTGTTGAGGTTCTAACCAGAATGATTAGTAAGGCAGATTTGGAAAATTCAATAAGGGACTGGAGGGTGGGAAGGGCTGAGGTCGTGTTTACCCACTTGTAGTTTGTGAATGATTTTAATTCTTTTCTGTGGTGACTACAGCCCTGAAGCCCTTGGGAACTTGAAACTTCTTGTTAGCTCCTTTGAGAAATTGTCAGAATAGCAGAGGCCTTAGGTTGTGAAGTAAAAAACTGGCCCCTAGAGTACTTAGGACTCCCCTGGGCAGAAATCCATGAAATTAGAGCTTTTGTAAGCTTGTGGTTGAGAGAGTTACAAAAAGTGGCACTCTGAAAGAGGAGTTACATTTCTTTGGGAGGAAGGATAACCCTGATTAAAGCCACCTTGGTTAACCTTCCCATTTACTTCTTGTCGACCTTTCGTATCCCTGCCAGAATTGCTGGGCAATTGGAAAAATTAATGAGAGCTTTTCTTTGGGAACCTGGAGTTGATAAGAGAGACCATTTAGTGAATTGGGAACAAGTTTGTAGGCTAAAGAGAAGGGTGGGCTTGGGCTAGGAAATTTAGTCCAACAGAATTCTGCTCTCCTAGAAAGTGGTTATGGAGGTTTCCCCTAGAAAGAAATAGGCTCTGGCACAAGGTCATTGCTAGCATTCATGGTATTTCAGACAATGGCTGGGACAAAGGTGGCACCCTATGAAAATTCAGCTTCAACTTGGAAAGCAATTTATGAGGTCTGTCCTTTCTACCTTAAACCTTTGGATAGGTGAACATCCTTTAAAGGTCCAATTTCCTTTGCTTTATGCACTTTCCAATTACAAATCTGAACCCATTTCTACGTTTTTGAGTTTATTTGCCTCTAGTTTAAATTGGGGTTTTGAGTTCAGTAGGGGTCTTAGGAAATCGGAATGTGAGTCTCTCATATCTCTTTTGGCCAGACTTGACTCGGTTTTCTTGGATCAAAATGTAGAGGATACCAGGGTGTGGTCAATGTCCCCAAATGGCTTTTTTACTTGTGCTAATTGGGATTTTGAGTTCAGTAGGGGTCTTAGGGAATCGGAATGTTAGTCTCTCATATCTCTTTTGGCCAGACTTGACTTTGTTTTCTTGGATCAAAATGTAGAGGATACCAGGGTGTGGTCAATGTCCCCAAATGGCTTTTTTACTTGTGCTTCTTTCTTTAACTTCTCAATTCAGCCTTCTACCTT